ATATTACATGCAAGATGAAATGAAAATTACATCCAAAATTTTCTAAAGACAGTCGGATTCCTTCAGAAATACAGTGATATAAAAACACCCACACCGGGTTTCGATTTTGAAACGTGCAGTGCTCATGTTTATTCAACGAAGTCAAAGACTTTTGGAAAATCTATATGTGGCGGTCAGTTTTGATATTGTGGCGGGCCGCCACAAATAAATCAATGTATGGGAAACACTGATGTTAAAAAATAATGTTAAAGATTTATATTTAAAAATGCAGACCTTTTGAACCTTTATTCATCAAACAATCCTGAAAATTTGTCTCACAGTAGAAAAACAAAGACCTCGACCTCTGGCAAGATTTTTTTTCATTTCTCATGCATGGGAAACTGCAAAAATAAAGGAAGGGGGAAAAAAAGAAAACTCACGCTGTCATCTGAGCAGTGGGAGTGCTCTTGTACCAGCACAGGTCGTTGCTGGCTGATGCTGGTCCAGGAGGCCATGTCTGCAGGCCGGCTGAGGGGATGTAGGTTTCCTGGAGCTGTTCCAAACCCAGGTGATCATAAAAAAGGGCGAGTTCAAGAAAAAGTAAGTAACGTAAAAAATAAAATGGACCGGTGGCTTTTTAAGATTAATACCAGTGAAAGTAAAACGGGTGAACCGTCTGACAAAAAAGAAGAGGAGTGCCTGTCTGAAGCATTACTTTTTTCGCCATAAAGAATCAGCACTAACAGGTCAAAAACAAACTATGACCATCCAAACCACTCTGCCAGTAAAAGAGCTTACTGCTTCATATGAGGTGGCGCATTTAGTTGCCAAGGCCAAAAAGCTTCATACAATTGCAGAGAGCCTCATTCGTCCAGCAGCAATGGCCATCTGTAGAACTATGTTTGAAGATAAGACATTGAACAAATTCCACTATCAGACAACACTATAAGCCGGCGTATCACTGAAATGGCAACCGACGTCAAATGTCAGCTAATTGAAAGAATAAGGAATTACATTTTTTTTTCATTGCAATTAGATGAGTCGACAGACATCTCAAACTCCTCCCAACTACTTGTATTTGTTCGCTACCGTCATGAGAGAAAATTGCTTGAGGATCTGCTATTTTGCTCATCAATGGAAACAACATGCACAGGAAGAGATATTTTTGAAAAAACTCAGTGGTAAACTGAAAGTACTTGGTCTTTGTTGGGACAACTGTGTCGGCGTGTGCACAGATAGAGCGGGACTGTCTCACAGTAGAAAAACAAAGACCTCGACCTCTGGCAAGATTTTTTTTCATTTCTCATGCATGGGAAACTGCAAAAATAAAGGAAGGGGGAAAAAAAGAAAACTCACGCTGTCATCTGAGCAGTGGGAGTGCTCTTGTACCAGCACAGGTCGTTGCTGGCTGATGCTGGTCCAGGAGGCCATGTCTGCAGGCCGGCTGAGGGGATGTAGGTTTCCTGGAGCTGTTCCAAACCCAGGTGATCATAAAAAAGGGTCCTTCCCTCTGCTCCCCCATCCTCACACCTTCCTTCCTCCCCTGGGAGTCCATTAACATAAACCAGCCCATCGGTCTCCTCATAATAACCGTTCTCAATCATCTCACGATCCTGCTCCTCCTCCTCCTCTTCGTCATTAGCATTTGTGCAAGTCTGAATCCCCAGCGTTACAGCTGCAGTCTCCAATGGGCTGATCTCAGATATATCAGTGCTGGAACGGGAGCCAAAGTAGTTCTCCACAAAGCCTTTCTTCACCAGATCCGTGCTGCTGGTGACCGATGTACTGGACTGGGCAGCCGTCTGAGGCTCACTACATGCTTCTGGCCCCGAAGCTGCACCACCTGGAAGATCGGTCTCACTAGATCCTGTCGGCCTGCCAGGAGCATTAGTTTCACAGCGGGGCTGGGTAGCAGAGTCCTCATTGTAAGACACCAGCCCATCTCCTTGACTGATGGAGGCTTTTTGTGGAGTCAAAACTCTAGAGCTCGATAACGCGAGACTGTGAGATTCTCCTGAAAATATGAGGCTCTGTTCTTGCACCAGGATGCTGGACTTTCTGCTAGTGACCTCCGTCTCAACCTCATCATCCGAGGGGAGCGAATTAATGGAGGTGAGGGAAGACTGGACTCCGCTGATGCCGCTGGTGCTCTCTGGATTGAGACCCTCCAACGCGGTGGCTCCTCTGGAGGCAGGGCTGAGCGGAGATGGTCTCTGGTGGGCGCTTTGTAGAATCGGATCTGTAGGCGGCTCCAGACTAGTAGAAGCAAAAGGAGACGGAGAGAACGAGGCTAGCTGTGTTGCAGAGCTGGGCTCGCTCTCGATTCCTGAGTCTGAGAGCCTGGAGGAGGCTTGAGGAACACAATCACTCCTCAAAGCAGCTCCACAAGCTCCGATGAACGTGGCACCATCCCCAACTCGGCTCTTGAATTCAGAGAAATCGGTCTGTGTGATCTCTGGAACATCCCTCTTGGCGGATGGATCTGAGTGGTGCGGTAAGAGAATGGTGACCTTATCGCCCTGGTAGGGGTCCTTGTCGCTTGGTTTGACATCTATATGTCTGAGCCCAACAGGTGGATGTGTCAAATCAATTCTGGCAGCTGCACTTTGTGCGGCTTCTGCTCCAGTACCTGCCTGGGGCCTAGCCTGCATTTGCAAACTCAAAAGATTGGAAAAGCTGTCACTCTGGATACCGACGTTGCCTTGAATGTCGCTTGTGGTGCAGTCTTTAGTATTCTGAGCACAATGTGCGGTTGCAGTTTCATTCTGGAGGATGTATTTGCCTACATCGTCAAGCTCGCCTTTTGGATTGCACTGAGTGTCAACTTCTTTGGACTTGGTGGTTGGTTCACCATGAGGAACCTTCAAGTTCTTGTAGCCTGTGAGGACCACTGAGTCTTTCGAGCTTTGCCTGATCAGCTTCTTTGAATTTTCAGTCTTGGCATTCTTCTTCAGCTTGATAGATTTGGCTTTGGATTTGAGGGGAGGCTCATTTTGTTCAGGCCAAGCCGTGGCAAGGGCAGCTTGCTGCTTATCTGGGTACGGACCAAGGCCTCCCAATCCACTAGCAATACAGTCCTTTGAGTTGGACCTGTCTGCTTTAGTGGACACAGAGCCACTCCTGTTGTTGTGGAGACCAAGCCATGGACCATCGCGATCTTCAGGGTAGAAAAAATATGGTAAGTAGTCGTTTAGCAGACTATTTATCCAAAGTGACTAGTCACTTAAATACCGGGACTGTTACCATGGTGCAAAATGAGATTAGGGAAATAACGGTGAATAGAACCTTTAAGATTTTCATAACCAAACCACTATGCCACACCTAGTTTATCTTCAAAACAGCAAGAACTAGCACAAAACGGATCTGACATTTCAAAGGTCTTGTCCCTTTTCTACATAGTCACTACATTTAGTTCAGGTGTGTCCAGTCCTGCTCCTGGAGGGCCAAAGTCCTGCAGAGTTAAGCTTAACCCTAATAAAACATACCTGAACCAGCTAATCAAGGTCTTCAGATTTACTAGAAACTTCTATTCAGGTAGGTTGGAGCTCAACTATGCAGGAAGGTGGTACTGCAGACTTTAAAACTTGCACAAATCTTAAAAACTTTTTATATATACAGTGGGTACGGAAAGTATTCAGACCCCCTTAAATTTTTCACTCTTTGTTATATTGCAGCCATTTGCTAAAATCATTTAAGTTAATTTTTTTTCCTCATTAATGTACACACAGCACCCCATATTGACAGAAAAACACAGAATTGTTGACATTTTTGCAGATTTATTAAAAAAGAAAAACTGAAATATCACATGGTCCTAAGTATTCAGACCCTTTGCTGTGACACTCATATATTTAACTCAGTTGCTGTTCATTTCTTCTGATCATCCTTGAGATGGTTCTACACCTTCATTTGAGTCCAGCTGTGTTTGATTATACTGATTGGACTTGATTAGGAAAGCCACACACCTGTCTATATAAGACCTTACAGCTCACAGTGCATGTCAGAGCAAATGAGAATCATGAGGTCAAAGGAACTGCCTGAAGAGCTCAGAGACAAAATTGTGGCAAGGCACAGATCTGGCCAACGTTACAAAAAAATTTCTGCTGCACTTAAGGTTCCTAAGAGCACAGTGGCCTCCATAATCCTTAAATGGAAGACGTTTGGGACGACGGCTGCAATATAACAAAGAGTGAAAAATTGAAGGGGGTCTGAATACTTTCTGTACCCACTGTATATGAGCTAATGGTTAAAATGATAATCAAAGATTTAGATTATCATATTATCAATCCAGAAGTGCCGTTATACATACCTTCAGTAACTGATTCCAAATATCTGTCCTCAAAGATGATTGGTAGGGAGTTCACATCCCCATCAAGATCAGCACATTCAACAGGAAGAGGTGGCAAGGACAAGAAGTAGGAGGAGTTCTTGATAGCTGTGGTCATCTGTTGGTGACTGTGAGCACTGTTAAATAAAGTAGTTCATTTGAATTATAATGAGAATTCACATCTTTTCTTTGTGCAAAATAACTACATCACAGTAATGATATTTTAAGACGTACTGCAGTTCCTGGTAGGCCAGGGCACTCTGTCTTGGGTGTTCAAGACAAAAGAAAGCTTCTGCAAATCTTTGCACCTAAAAATTGTACAACATACATAAAGCCAGAAATATACTATGCACAAACACTCCTAACTTTGCAACATCAATTTCATGCATCTTTGCATTACAAAAGGTGTCAGAATGTAATGCCTGTTTCACACCGCTAGCTTGAGATTTGCGTCAGCATAACGTCATCCTCACTGCAGCTGCAGACTAGCAAGAGTATTCACACTGGAAGCATATGTACAGCATCACAGCAACAGCTCCCAAGCTACATATTTCCTTAGAGAGACAACTATAAATTTGTTTTAGAAGTTGGTCAGTTATAAATTTGAAAGTTTTAAAGACATGAAAGTTTGTTAACACTGGGATTCACATGTAAATGGTAAACAACAAAAATAGCTCTGATCATGTCTTTTCAGTCATACTTCGATATAGTACGTGCTGTTTGTTCTTTTTTTTTATAGTACACCATACTTTAACCTAAACTGAATCATTAAAAACAAGTTTAAATGGGTAAATCTTCTATACATATTTTTGATTCTTCATTTTCTTTTCTGACATACTCCAATTATTGTTAAAGGGGTCATATGATGCGATTTCAATTTTTCCTTTCTCTTTGGAGCGTTACAAGCTCTTGGTGCATAAAGAAGATCTGTAAAGTTGCAAAGACTAAAGTCTCAAATCCAAAGAGATATTCTTTATAAAAGTTAAGAGTCAGCCACACCTACCTAAAACGGCTCGTTCTAACACGCCCCCACGTATCTACATCACTATGTTGGAATATTTGCATAACGCCGCCCAAATGTTCACGCAAAGAAAGAAGGCGTAACTTTTATTCTGGCTGTAGTATTATTGCTGCCGCCATGCTGTGAATGCGCTGTGTGATTCGTTGTGAAAGCGAAACTACTTTGTTTGGCCTTCCAAAAGAGAACGATATCTG